GATTGTAAAAACTGTAATTTAGCCCGCTTAATACTTTTTCCGCCTTTCCATAATTGTGCTTTGCTGTTTGGTAGTTTTTCTATTGCGTTCACGGTGCCAGCCAAAGGCCGTCAGCCTCGTACATGAAATTCCGTAATTCAGTAGAGGTTTAGTAAAACATTCGCAGTTTCGAACTAATCATCAAAATAATGTGACAGCGAATTGATCTGTCGAATCCGTTGCTTTTTCATGTTGACAGGTAAACTGTTTTGCCGATCTGGAGATGAGATGAAGTTTAAGCATTGTTTACGGGACTGTTTGGAACATTAGTTTTGTAAAATCGAGGCCTTGTTCTACCTGAGTTATACCAGTTTGCTTCTTTACTCTAGTGTAGTCCTAGGCGTTTTTGGACACGACAGACACTCGTCCTGGTAAAACAAATGCTCTCTGTAGTCAAAGCAGCACGTGCGAACAGCGTGATATAGTCGAGGGTCGCCTGTAGCTTGAAAATTGTCAGCTCACATTTCCTGGTTTCCGTATCCTTTGTGTGCGCGTGGCAGATTCACTCTTTATGCGACGAGTGTTCTCGTTTTTTTTACGTTCATGTAGCTTTTATTTTCGTATTGTCATAGTTCGCTATGTTTTTGTGACCGATATGTTGTCGGCGGTTCCTCGCCTGTGCGATTAAATCTGCATGTGATCGAGTGGCGTTGTTTTGATCGTATGAATTTGATATATTTTTTGGTATTATAGCTTTATTAATGCTGTGTATTTTTATGATAAAGACACGTTGTCGAGTTCAATTTAAAATACTGCAAACTTTTTGCAGAATCGCATGGAGGAAAGCAAGGCTCTTTTTCGAACTATAATTACATATCCATGGTTTCAGAACAGTTCTGTTATACTTTTTCTTAACAAAAAGGACTTGTTAGAAGAAAAAATTATGTGCTCACATCTTGTTGATTATTTCCCGGAGTACGACGGTACATTGTTATACGTTCATTCAGGCTAAAATACGTGTCTCCTTATAGGTCCTCCAAGAGATGCGATTGCTGCTAGGGAGTTCATTCTTAGGACATTTGTCGATTTGAATCCAGATGCAGACAAAATCATATATTCTCATTTCACTTGTGCTACAGGTATTCTATTTACGACGAAATGTTTTGTCGGTGTAACTTGTGCAGTTTTTTATCGACTGTTTCCGCGTAGAACGCTTGAAAGCGATAGTTTCGCACGTCTTTGATCCGATTTTAGTGTCGTGCTTACAACGATATTTACAACTTGTCTGCTAAACGATTTTTTCGGTTTACCTTATTCAGCGTTATATTTACATTTCTATTTTAGTTCTTGATAGTTCTAAAATTTTAAATGACGAGGCGGTGAGCAAATTTTAGCAGGTGTATTAGACCGAATTTTCTTGGTTCTGACGATCTAGCTCGTAAGGGTAGTTATCATTTCATGATATCGTGATCAGGCGTTGTTCAACCAGATCTGCTGCCCCTTGCTGATGATTCGCCATTCTCCGTTCAGAGAGTACACTGCATAGTATAAGAAATTTGCTGCTTGGAGATTAATATGGGCAGTTGGTCTTTATTTTTCCTTGTGGGATTCTAAGCTAAGTACTCATCCCTTAGAAACATAGTAGTTCTGTACACAATGGTTACCAGATATTCATTAGCAGACTGTTTCGGGGTTCGAGACCGTGATGGATTTTTTTGGCTATTTTATATTCTGGCGTATGCACATCAACGTTTCTCCTGTCATTCGATTTTCTTCAGTCGTTGCAAACTCACTTTTATCGCCTGTCGCTGAAGATGGATTATGGGTAGTTGTTGCACTTATACCGCGTATGTTGCAGTCCAGAGTAATAATCCGATCATACTGGTAACATTTCGGTTTTAGCGCATTATCGTTATGCCTACTCCATAACCCGAAGCCGCTGCACTGTGTTCTGTAAGTTTACATTCACTCCGGTGTCTAGGTTTCGGTGGTAGTGCTGCAGAAACCACTGATTACCGCGTTCGTCTGCTTTCGATGCCCCAGCCGGTATGGGCTGAAGTATATGGGACAGAATGGATAAAGTTTTTGAAAGTTCAACACTTGTCAGACAAAATTTTTTCCGCAAGACCGGGAGCATGTATCGAAATCCATCTGCATGTTATTTTTTGTGAGGTTATGTTTCATTCATTTCGTACATTCCGTATTTCATTCAAGCAAAATTGTGTTCACCATAGCTTGTCTTGCGTTAAATATCTAGGCAGCATGCCAGGGGGTGGACTTTATTGCTTGACTATCCTGGCAGAGTCGCAATGAAGGAGACTGAGGAGCAGCCCAGGTACCTGATGGTTCGATTATGCTGAGTATCTGAGTTTGTCGCTCTTTCTAACTTGGCTGATGGTGCCTTATCTGATTAGCAGACGATTAGACCGGGACCGTTTGAGAAATGCCCTAAAGCAGTTGCATCCCTAACCTGACTGGCGGAGTTTGAAAATGAGTGGATGAACGAATGAAAGATCACACTCATGGCAGATTTCTAATGCCAGTTTCAGAAGTAACGGAAAAAGTTTTTGGATAGTAGACACTGTCATCGTCAGTTTCTTTTCAAGGACGCGAGCAGCCTACACGGATAAATGCTCTTCATTTTAGCTGTCAGACTAATCTTGCTTCCTTTGTTGTTTGATCGAGAACCGTAAGATGGGCAGGATTTCGTTTCCGCTTTCACTTGACGTAATTTCATGTTCTAATAGTACTGATCGTAAATAGTACATGCACCGTCTTGATTGCGGAGGTTTTCCTATGTCACTCGACGTGATAGACTACTACATTGTAAGGGGTCTTTTTTAGTAAGCTTCGACTGAAATTGAACATTACTGCACTCACATCTATTTGCAATACTCTTGGAAAAGCACTTTATTAAGTTTTGTTGTTGAATCGTTGTTTTACTGTTTTCAGCTAAAAATCTAGTTTTATGCTTTGTACTCCCAGCGTTTGCCTTCCGCAGCCCCATCATAATCAGTAAATATCTTTGGAAATTGCACCGATTAGCAGAAGCCCTCGAACTGAATGGCTCTAGATCGGCAGATATTTGAACTATTTGCTTTTCTTCATAGATCGACGTTTCATTCAATATCTTTAATTTTCAGTTTTTATTTCGGTCTATAGAGACACGTCTTTTGCTTTAATGCATTTTTATTATCTAAAGCATGCGTAAATAACAATACGTTAACAATGCGTAAATGCTTATCGTTGTATTCGACTAGCAGTACATTACGAGCACTGAATGTCTTCCCAACATAGACAGACAAGTGACGCAGTATCGATGACCGCTTGTCTTTTCGCGACGCGAAGACAGACGCGTTTTGCAGTGTCTCCTGATTTCGATCATGTGCCAGTGTTTGAGTTGCGGCAGAAGATAAGTAGAGTTTATAGCAGAGTTCTTCCATGAATTGGATTGGCCTTAGAACACTCTTGGTCTACCCCTCGTGTTTGGCCGGGTTCGAAGCTTTTCAGTGATGGTTCACGACTCATGACCATAGGAATGCATGGGGATGAAGATCGACTTCAACCTCGGGAGCTTCGTTTTCAGATTCAACTCTGCGTTAGTCACAAGGGTTCGGGCTAATTCACGCAGAATGTCACTGGCTACTCCAGTCCGCCGGTCGATCTCTACTTTTCCATCATCAGTTAAACAGCCCCGAAGGACTTGGATTTCTTCACCTGCTCCACTGCTTCTGCGTTTATCTGAGGACAGCAACGGGCAGAAATACGAGAAGGCACTAGGCTTTTCGTTTCAGGTGCGTTTACACCCATCCCGACCACGTCGCACTCTGTAGCGAACCTTTTCTAAGAGCGCTGGAGATCAGTTTCAGAGGATACCAACAAAACAAGGTCGTCTGCAAACAGCGGCTTTCACGTCTCGGCATTTCCCACACTGTTATACTATGGTTTTGGCTGCACCTGACAATTCTATCCATGTACGACATAAACAAGAGAAGGGACAGAACGCAGCCTTCGCGGAGACCAGTGGCAGAGCTGGAAGGTTTCGACTTAACGCCATTTATTCTGACCCTTCTGTTAATACACGGTGACTGGATGGCTCGTAGCAACTAGGGATCGATCGCATGTTTGCATGTACTCCTATGCTTGCTGTTCGCGATTCGGTCATTGGCTCTCTCCAGGTCCGCAAGGCACATGCAAACCAGATGCGAAAACTGCTACGATTTCTCGACAATGTGACGAACATCTGATCAGAGATGTTTCAGCATTACCTCAAGTCGCGCTGCTCTTCCTGTGTCTTAAAGTCAGTTATTCTGCGGTACCTTCTTTCTAGCATTTTGGCGTCTCCGTTTTTGAATGGTTCAGTAAGGGACTGCACCGATAATTCGAGCACTCCCTATGATGTTCGTTCGTGATCAAGGTTGCTACAGAATCTCGGTTCTAGAGTTCGCTTGTGTCTTCGCTTTTGCAGTTTCCAGTCAAATGTTAGCCACAACAGATACTGATGGCCTTAAGCATTTCAGAGCAGATTTCATCGATTCTTGTGGCTTTGTCACATAGAAAGTTTTCTACAGGTTCTGTGTCTTCATCTACTAAACGACGAATATCCTCTTTCCCTTGCTCTTAAGGCTAGTCTTCCTGCAGTTTCTCCGAGTAATACGGAGTTCTTCAGACTATTCTGTCCTTCCTTGAAATATGTCCTTTTCCTTGGTAAGAGTTCGTCCGGGATTGTGCTTCAGGACTCCAGACTGTTCTGTTCTTCATTCCATTTCGGAGGCGGCGGATAATCCGCCAGAATACCTTGTTTTCCGTCTGAAAATTCTGCGCCAATACCACACCGAACTTTTCCCGGAAATGAGTATTCGCTACTGCCTTGCTTGTTTCTTCGTTCTGCATACGAATTGAAAGTTCTTTGCTTCCAAGCCACCTCTTGAATGCGGCCATCTTCTCGCTGACAACCAGTTGAATTACACTTGTTCACGAGGAAGTTTGTTTCTGACCTCCATGCGGCAGGCCAAACCACAACAGTTGGTAGTTGCTCCGAATAAATTGCTTTTAAAGGGTTCTACTCAATTTCCACATCAGCGATCGTTTCTGCAACCTGTTCAGATCGTCGTGCGATGTGGTTTTGCCCTTGTGTCCGCAGAAGATAGTGTTGCCAGTTTAATTCTGTGGTTGCTTCTTCGCCAAGTTTTCTTATCGTGTTCCATTGTTTGCAGAAGAGGGTGCTAACAGCAAGGTAGTGATGAGTTGACAGTTCTGCGGCTCATTAACACGAAAATCTGTTACTGAAGGGAATTTAATTTAAATGGTACGATTATCAGACCTCTACCTCGTATACTGGTGCACGATTTGATGAAGGTGTTCTTAATAGGTAGTCCGTTGTTTGCACAAAACTGCTACAGCTTCATTCCATGTTTGTGGAAGTCGCTGGGGCCGTTCTGTCTAATCGCGCTTTCCCTCTTATCTGCTTGATTTGTGCTTCACTTCATGTCTGCTTTGACATGCCACGTGAATTCGCCAATTAGAATGATTCCCTAGTTCAGAGCGCCTTCTGCTTCCTCCAGATTTTACTCATATTCTCCCTCCAAATTTGACGCATAGACCTGCAACAAATAAAGTTTTAGCCATATGATTTTTGCCCTTCCCCTAACAGGTTTCCATTCAGTTACTCCGTTAGGTAGGCTGTTTTCTACCGGAACATCAACATCGACGTGAACGCGGATCATGAATTCGACCAGTTAGTGGAATGGCTTCCACTATCAGAAGTATGGGATTCCAAAGCCTTGCCGTTTCGTTGACGAGAGTTCATGTCGAGGTGGTACCTTGCGGTCTTTTAATCTAATTCTTACTGTTTCTCTTTGAGTGATATATTCCAGTTTCCGACTCTAACCTCCCACTGGCGGTGTCGTTCCCGCGTAGCCTTTTCTGACGTTATGGTGGCATCATGCAGTTTGCCTCGTCCGTTTAAAACGGTTTTGTTACTGAGTAATGTTTTTTTCGTCGTCTTATTTTTCTCTATCTTTGGTAGCCATCGCCGTCTTGCTACGTCCGCAGCTGGCAGTAGGGCGAGAAGCATGGTCTGATCGCTGACTTCACAACTTGCCACCATTCACTAACCGTCTGCGCGCTCCTTGCTAATCCGGGCGACTACCGAACCGGTATAGCGTTCGATAACTGCAGCTCCATGATTCAGAGATTCATCTTCGCTAAATTTCACTGAAGTGTTACAAGGATTAAAGTTGATT